AAATGGTTGAGAAGTTAGAGGGTTGACATATTGTGGGGTTATTAACCAATGTCATAAAACAATATGTGTACTACTGTTTCATGATGAACTATTTGTTCTGTAAGCCTTCACCTGAAGTACAATAAAAAAAAGGGTAAAAAAGCAAAAAAATGTTTGTGATGCTGTAGAAACACAGATTTTTAAATATATATCTGAATTAAAGAATCACAGCTTAAATTTGGCGTATATACATGTTATATGGTTAAATTTAGTGTACTATATATATAAAATATGTATCATTTTATAGTTATATGTATATCCAGACACACATTTCAAGCTATATTTTTATTTGATTGGTATTTTCCTCTTCGCATATGTAAAAATATAAATATTTATTTATTATGTCAACAAAATAATGTCTCAATTGATTATAGAACTATAGCAGGATAAAAGCAATTGTATAGAAAATAAAGAATGTTAAATCAATGGAAGACATTTAAGGTGAAGGACCATAACTGTTGTTCTTGCAAAAGGCTCATACATATACACATCTTTAGAGGCATATTAAAACCCATTGCCACTGAGTCAATTCCAACTCATAGTGACCCTACAGAACAGAGTAGAACTGCCCCATAGAGTTTCCAATGAATGGCTGGTGGTTTCGAACTGCCGACCTTTCAGTTAGCAGCCAAGCTCTTAACCACTGTACCACCGAGGCTCCAGATGCATATTATGGACTGATTAACCTCCCTCTAATATCCAAGGCAGCATTTTTGCCTCATAGCTATGCTGCAAAATTAAGGCATTCTACATTAAATGAGTATATTTCAAAAAGTAAACATAAAATATTATCAAAACATATAAAACTAGCCAGTTGTCTTTAAAATTATGAGGATGTATACAATAAGATATGAATCACTTAGGACTGCTGGTACTTTGTTTACTAAAGTTGTTGCTAAATCTTGAAAGGTGGACATAAATTTATTGTATATCAGAATTGAGTTTTTAAAAAATGAGATTGCAGCATCTACATGCTAAATATTTAATTTATGAGATTAGAAAAACAGACAATTTGAAAATTTTACAAATTTATGATTAAAGAATCATTAAAACATGACTAAAAGATAAGAAAAATCATGTGACATGAACTTGACTCAATCAGCCACAAATACAAGATTATAACAGTCTTATACCATGAAGAGTAATGAAAAAAATACAGTAAAAAAAAAACAACAACAACAACAACAAAAACTACGACAGTAAAAAAGGAAAAAAATGTACATGTTATATGTATATTTTGCTCTAAAACTTCTGGTGGGGCCAGTAAAGAAACAAAGAAAACATAAATTACATAAAAAGAAACTTCTACCTATATAACATAGGTGAAGTGATACAGCAAACAAAACACACGTGCTCAACAAGAAAAAATACTTACTGGGGAAAACCACATCACTTTAAGAATCCAAATTGTAAGAGCCAAATTCACAACTAGGATGATGAGTAAAAGAAGAACAAATAAGTAGAGGCAACGCTTTCTCCAGCCATAAATGCCAATTTTATAGACATTCTGGTCCTCTGGCCTCTCTATGTGGGTGCCTTCTGTGGTTGTAGTATATTGCTCACGTACCATCTGCCGTAGGAGAGAGAGAAAGAGAAAAAACAATATTGTTTGTCAATACTGATTTGCTATGAGCCTAACAAAATAATAGACTTTTACTCTAAAAATAAAATTCCAAAATTAATGATTTTGAAAACACAGTTAATATTACTTTGTGTTTAAACTATAGATATTTCATCTGTCATTTAAAATATATCAGATATGACAAAATTATTTGAAATTCTGTGATCTTATTTTCAGATTTTAATCAACATATGCACACCTTCCAAAATTCTGCATGGTTGAAATTTAGAACTGAAAAATCAACCTAAAATAATCAAGTTCTTAAAAGATTCAGTGGGAGAAAAATAAAGCTAGTATCCTACATACAATGAGCCCTGGTGGCACAGTGGTTAGATGCTCGGCTGCTAACCAAAAGATCAGTGGTTCTAACCCATCGGCTGCTCCACAGGAGATAAGATGTGGCAGTCTGCTTCCATAAAGATTACAGCTTTGGGAATATTATGGGGCAGTTCTACTCTTTCCTTTAGGGTCGCTATGAGTTGGAACTGACTCGAGACAATGGGTTTCTGGTTTACCCTACATACCTTTTAAAAAATAGAATCTAATTACTTAACGTTATGTCACGTGGTTCAATCACATCTTTGTTCAGCTACTGAATTACTCAAATTAAAAAAAAAAAAAAAACTCTTTGCAACATATTTACAGCACTAACTTTTGCCGATAATAAAGTTTCAAAGTATTGACTTCTCTCAGGAAAGGTAAGACTATGTATGTGTATATACAAATGTTTACCACATTGTGTTCATGTAAACTAGAGTAAGAATTTTAGCCCCAATTTCAACTCTATGAAGAGATTTACAAAATTAAGCAGTCATCCTTCCCTTCACAGAGGAGCAAAATAAGGTGGGTTTAATTTATAAAGTGAAGATTAGATATTGAGACTTTTCAGATTGTGAATTTGGTGATATGATGAATCAGAATAGAAAATATTATCCTCTGAGATTTTTCTGAAAAAATTTTGCATTTATTTTTTAGGAATGGTTTGGAGGTGTTTTTACTGAAAACAGGCCATGGTGCAAATAATTCTTTAAATCTCTCTCCAATTTAACAATAGACAGTTTCTCATGTTCTAAATGATTGTATATGAAATTGTACTATTTATCACATAGTATTTTCAAATGCTCGGGTCTTACAATCTACATCATTCAAAACCTAAATGTTTAATGATTTCATAAGGGCATTATTTATTTGCTCATTTCTTTTAACGCCTTCCATCTTCCCTATATTCAGAAGTCCACCACATCCAGAGTTACTCAAGCCACAGTCCCAGAAGTCATCTTTGCTGCTTTTTTTTCCCTCAAGCCCCACATCAGCAAGTCTTCACAACTCCCTCTTCAACATATCCCAGAAGTGTCAACCTCCCTCCTCTCCTTTGCTACCACTCTGGTTCAAGCCACCATGAAATCTCTCATCTGAACTATGGCAATAGCTGCCTTCATTCTTTCCCCTCTAGAAACCATTTCCTACACAGTAGCCAAAAAGTAAAATCTAAGCTCCTATAACTCTATTATTTCTAACCTTCCAATGGCTTTTCACCTCACTGGGAATATCAAACTCTTCTGTAACTTATAAGACCCCACAAGATGTGGCCTCTGCTTACCTCTTTGACTTCATCTACTACCTTGTTATACTTTACTCACAATGCTCCATCCACTCTTTAAAAAAACCAAGAGGTTCTGGCAAAATGGCGCTCTAGGCAGAAGCACCACACCGTCCCTCCACAGCAAAGATCAGAAAAACTAAGCCGAACAGAGAATACAACAATCCTGAAACCCTAAAACATCAAATGAAGAGATAAAGAACTCAGCCAAGCACCAAATGGAGTGAGAAAACTGACACAGAAT